CCGCGTTTTGTGCGAGGGCCTCTGCGCGAGTGGAGCGGAAGAAGAGCGCGCCGGACCTTACGTACACCACGTCCGAGCGCGCAGACTGCAGCTCCTCGCGCTGGATCTGGAGCAGGCGGAGGTCGGTGTCGCGTGGCCGAGCCGGCAGCTGGCTCGTGCTTGGCATAGAGTGGTTGCGGGTCTGATTTCTTTCAAAAGATTTCGTGGCGCGACACAACGCGCCGGAAAACTCAAAAAAGAAAGAAAGAAACCTCGGCTCTCAAACTGTCACTCCCCTTTCTCCCGGCCGGGGTGGGGCGCGCGCGGGGGCGGCGGGTGTGCGGGATGTCTGTGGGCCCGAGAGCGATGTGTTCTGTCCGCCTTGCGTTTGTTTTCAAAACATCGAAGGCAAAGCTTAAAAGAATACATCGAAAAAAAGAAACCTCTGCGCCCCACCAGCCAGACCAGCCGTTTGGCGCCACCAGCCACATGCTGCCTCCACCAGCCACATGCTGCCTCCGCTAAACGACTTGGCGACCGGCTTCACCGGCTTTTTGCTTCGCCTACGGCAGGGCCAGCGCGGCCGTCCGCCGCGCAGGCAGGTCTGCCAGACGCACCACGAGCCGCGGGCCTGCGCGGCGGGCGGCGGCGAGGTTGCGATGTGGGAAGGTGCGCTCGCACCGTTCGAGGGCGAGGGCGGAGCGCCACCGGCGCCGCTGCCGGGGAGCCTGCCGTACCAGCACGCCGCCTGCTTCCTCCTCCTCGCGCTCTGCGTCCGCCTCCTCATCCGGCGGCTCCGTCACCGTCACCGCGCGCTGCTGGCCGCCGACTGCGTCTCTCTCTCCGGCCACCGGGCGGCAGCGACGCCGCCGCTGTCGGGCTGGCGCGCGGTGAGCGAGCGTTGCGGCCGGGCCTCGACGCGCCTGCGCGCGCTCGCGCGCTCCTTCGTCGCCCCCGCCGAGCTCGCCGACGCCGTGCTGACGCTCGCCGAGCAGCTCGAGGCGCGAGAGGCGCAGGTGGTATCTAGCCGAGATACAGGCGGAGGTCCAGCCGAGATATCGCCGAGCAGCTCGAGGCGGGAGGCGCAGGTGGCGCGCTCCAGTTCTCCCCTCCAGGCCACCTCGAGTGTGCATCGAGGTGGTCATTGAGAGGGGAGACCTAGAGACTGAGCGGGCCGGAGGTTCTCTTGTCTGTCTGCAGGTGGCGCGCTCGTCGCAGAGGCTCGAGAAGTACCACTCGATGCTGCACCAGCGCGCAGGGCTGATCGCCTCGCTCCTCGAACCGACCGACGACCTCGCCGCCAGCGGAGAGGCACACGGCTCGACCGGCGCCGACGCCGCCCTGCAGCAGCGCAAGCTGGCAGAGGCACTGCGAACCCCTCGCCTCCCTCCCCCTCCCCCTCCCCCTCCCCCTCCTCTTCCCCTACCCCTCCCCCCCCCCCCCCCCCCCCTTCCCCCCCCACCCTCCGCCCTTCCCTCCCCTTCCCCCGCCGCCCCCCCCACCTCGCGCCCCCCCCCCCCCCCCCCCCCCACCCCCCCCCCCCCCCTCCCCCGCCCCCCCCCGCCCCCGCCCCCTCGGGGGGGGGTGCCAAGCCCCACCCTTTAAGGGAGGGGCCAAAAGGCCCGGGGCCCGTGGCCAGGGTTCCGTAGGCCCCCCCCGAGGGGGGCTCCCACGCGGCGGGCCCCGCAAACCTTCAGAAGGGGCCCTTCTCTCAGCTCGGGAAGCGGTTCCGGGGGGGGGGGGGGTGGGCCGAATTAGGCCCCCAGCTGGAGAATCTAATGTGGGCCTTCCCATTTTTCCCCATTTTTTCCCTTTTCTCCCTTTTTCTCCCCACAGGCCCCCAGCTGCAGCAGATAGTGCTTGAGTTCGACCCTCCCCAAGACGGGGGTACCCTGACAGGGGGGGTGCTGTCCCTTCCCCTTCCCCCCCCGCCCCCTTCCCCGCCTCCTCCCCGTGGCAACTTCGCCGACCAACCGTGCCTCCCCCCTTTCCCCCCCTTCCCCCCCTCTCAGGTGGCACCGCCCTCCCTCCTCCTCCTCCTCCTCCCCCTCCTCCGACGCGCGGGCCGAGCAGACTTGGCTGCTGCAGCTTAACCGACAGGTGCCCCTCTCGACCCTCCAGAGACACTTCCAAGACACTTCAGAGACACTTCAGAGACACTTCAGCTGCTGCAGCAACCGACAGGCGCCCCTCTCGACCCTCCTGCTCGAGACCGAGGCGGAGGCGGTGGTGCCGGCGGGCACGGGCGGCGCGTGGCTCGTCGCGGCGCCGCTCGCAGCCGCGCGTGCAGCTGCTGCCGAGCGGTTCGTCGTCTCAGTTCGTGAGGAGTGATGTCTAGGCGCACGTGCGGCCGCGTGTGGAGGAGCTGCTCGAGCTGCACCGCCGGAAGCTATGGCGCGTCGCCGCAGTGTCGGGGGCGGCATGAAGCGACTCGTGAAAGGAGGGGCCTGACGGAGCGCGTGAATTCAGGCGCGCCGAGCAGCCAGGGGCGACAAGCCGCGGCATCGCCCCCGCCGCGGTGTGGCATGCGCGCGACACGGCTGGACGTGTCGTGGGCACGTCCGTGACGTGTCCCCGGCGCGCCCCCCCGCAGGTAGAGCACGCGCGCGACCAGGCCAACGCGCTGCTGCGGCGGCGCGGCGTGCCGAGGCTGCACTGCGCAGCTGCGGCAGCTCCTCTTCACGGCTGCAGCTGTGAACAGGTACCACGGCTCTGCCAAGCACGAGCTGCATGTGCGCGAGTGGCTCGCGCGCGCGCGGCGAGAGGCGAGGGCTTGCTCTTCCTCCTCTGCTCCTCCTCCTCTGCTCCTCTTCCCTGCTCCTCCTCCCCTGCCCTCCTCTGCCCTCCTCTGCCCTCTCACACAACCTTCTGCCCCCCCCCCCCCCCCCACAGGCACGGCCGCCCTCCCTCCACATCTCCCTCTCGGAGTGGGAGAAGAGCTCGTCGCGCCGCACCGCCACCACCGCAGCACCGCACCCCAACACCCCGCCCCACCGCCACCCGCCCGCTCACCCGCCACCCGCCCTCGCCGCCCTCACGCACTCCACGCCCTTCCGCGCGCCGCCGGCGCCGGCCGCGCACCGCGGTGATGGCGGCGCCGGTCTTGCGGGCGGCGCGGCGAGCGGCGAGGAGCAAGGCGGCGCGGGCGGCGGCGGCGATGGGGGCGGCGGCGAGGGTTGCGGCGGCGATGGTTGCGGCGGCGATGGCTGCGGCGGCGATGGCGGCGGCGGGGTCCGAGCTTGGACGCTGCCGGTCGGCGGGTCGCTGCTGTGGGTGAACGACTTGGCGGACGGCGTTGCGGTGCGTCTGCGAGTGGGCGAGGCTGCGACGCGCACGCTGCAGCCGGGAGAGCGGTGCGAGAGCTGCTCCTGCGGACGGGCGGGCGGGCAGACCACTCAGGGATGAGCCCTGTTTACTGCGTGGAGTAGGTGCGAGCTGCTGATGCCACGGTTGGCTTCGGGCGGTACGAGTGGCGGCGCTGCGTCGAGGCGGGAGGCGGAGGCGCGGACGGGGGCGGCGGGGGGGGAGGAGGAGGAGGAGGAGGAGGAGAAGGGGAGGGAGGGGAGGGAGGAGGAGGGGGAGGAGGAGGGGGAGGGGGAGGGGGGGTGGCCGGGGGCGGGGCGGAGGTGCGCGTGGTGCCGGTGAGCAAGCCTCGCGCAGCACGGCAATCAATGAGGCACTGGTGTCCTACTCCGCCAGCAATGGATGGATAGGTGGACAGCATCACGCAGTACGGGACGTTTGCAGAGGCCGAGGAGGGGGGGGCGGCTTGCGGGACAAGCGAGGGCGATCTCACGCAGCGCGACGCAGAGGAGGCGCGCATCTCGCAGCGAGATGCAGCCGAGATGCAGCCGAGATGCAGCCGAGACGAGGCGAGATGCCCCGAGACGAGGCGAGATGGCCCGAGATGAGGCGAGATGGCCCGAGATGAGGCGAGATGGCCCGAGATTAGGCGCACGCGCCGGTGCCGAGTCCGAGGCGGTCGCACGCCGCGGCGGGGGGCGGCGGCGGGGCGGAGGGCGGCGCGGAGAGCGGGGCGGAGGGCGGGGCGGAGAGCGGGGCGGAGGGCGGCGCGGAGGGCGGCACGGAGCGTGTGGTCGAGGTCGAGGCGGCGCCTCCCGCGGAGGCGGTGCGCGCCGTGTCGGAGGAGGAGAAGGCCGAGGCGATCTCGGAGGCGGCCGCCGCCGTCGTCCGCTTCTCGTCGTTCGCTCGCCGCTTGGGCGACCGCGACGATGTCTGCGACCGGACCGCCGCGCTCGGCTTGCTGCCGGAGCTGGGCGACCACTCCGCGCGGCACGAGAGCCTAGAAGCAGGAAGACGTGTTCTTGTCTCCCAACCGGCGCTCGAGAGGACACGCACTCCGCCGTATTCGACCGCACTCGGCCGCGTCCCGCGGTATTCTCCCCTCCTCGTACTCACGCGGTGCGGTGGAGCAGTTGCACAATGCCGCCCTCCCGCCCCGAGGCTGGCGTCTCCACCACGTAGGCTGCCCATATCTCCCCATATCTCCCCATATCTCCCGCCCCGAGGCTGGCGTCTCCTCCACGTAGGCTCGAGAGGACAGCCGCCGCGCTCGCCGCGGCGACGCGCTGCTCGGCGCAGTCCCACTCCCTCCTCACGGCGTTGCAGCGGCTGCCCGCGGCGCGCGGCGCGCGGCAGTGCGCGTGCGACTCTCGCCCGGCGGACACTGCCTGGCGGCTGCGGAGCTGGTGATGAGCTCTTGCCACGCTCTTTCCGAGTAGGTGCGATTCGCTGGCGGAGCAGCTGGCGGCGGGGACAGCGGCGAGCGGCGCCCTCGCCGTCTCGCTCGAGGCGGCGACGCGTCGGATGCCTGGCTTGTCCACGACACGTCCACGACACGTCGATGGCGTGTCCCGCAGGCGCACGCGGCCGGGCTAATGCTAACGGCGGTGCAGGGCGCGTTGTGCGGGCCGGCGCCGCGGGCGCGCGAGCAGCTGCGCCGGCTCTCCTCTCCGCAGGTGCCACGAGTCAATGGGGAGCTGCGGGCGAAGTAGTCATTCATTCATTGCGCCGACAGGTCGAGGCGGCGAGCGCGATCTTGCAGGCCGCCGCAGTCAAGGCTTCGCCGCCGTTCCGTGCCGCCCTCGCGGCGGCGGCGGACCGGATCATGGCGACGGGCGGCGCGCTCGGCCGGCTGAAGCGGCTGCTGCCGCAGGAGCCGCCGCCTGATCATTAGTTCGTGACGAGTACTGAGTAGTTACTCCCTGAGCTGCTGCCGGCCGCAGGAGGCTGTCGCTGCGCCCGAGGCGACGCGAGGCGCGAGCGACGCCGACGGATCGGCCGACGGCGCGACCGGGCCCGTCTCGCCCGCGGCCCGCTCGCCGGGCGACACGTCGACCACGAGCCCCACCAAGGGGCCTCCACTCTACGGCCCTACCTCGGAGGCGTGCACGACTCCCTAGACACTTCCTAGACACTTCCTAGACACTCCCTAGACACTTCCTAGACGCTCCCTAGACGCTTCCTAGACACTTCCTAGACACTTCCTAGACGCTTCCTAGACGCTCCCTAGACACTCCCTAGACACTTCCTAGACACTCCCTAGACACTCCCTAGACACTTCCTAGACGCTCCCTAGACGCTCCCTAGACGCTCCTTAGACGCTTCCTAGACACTTCCTCGGAGGCGCGCACGCCTAGAGGCGGAGGACGTCCTCTTGAGTACGTGCACGTGCGTACACTTGTGCTCCAGCTGGCGCCCGAGAGGACACGGACTCACACTCACGCGCTGCTCTGAGGACGCTGCACGAGAGGGGTCTTCGCACACCCCCGAGGTCGGTGTATTCAGCACGCAGGCCTCCGGGGCCTCCGAGGCGCCGACGCCGCCGCCGCCCGAGCCGGCGACGAACGCGCCGACGCCGGCGTCGGCGACGCCGGCGTCGGCGACGCCGGCCGCATCCGAGGCGACCAAGCTCGACTCTGAGATTGCGGAGCAGCGCCGGCAGCTCGAGACGGAGCGCGAGGCGTTGCGCGCCCGCCGCCTCTCCCGATCGTGCCGCCACAGCGGCGCAGCAGGCTTCTCGCCAGACTCGCTCCGCACCTCCCCCTCCGCCGCCGGCTCCTCCCCCTCCGCCGCCGGCGCCTCGCCCGCGTTTCCCGCCTCTCCAGCCTGCTCTCGCGCCGGCTCGTCCCCCTGCGGGCTCGGCGCGGAACGCACGCCGAGCGCGCTCACGGCCGCGTCGGAGGCGGCCACCGTCGAGGTTGCGGCCGCCCCCGCCGTCGGCAGCCCGGCATCGGTCGTCTATTCGATCGCCGGCCACCCCCTCTACGACGCCCCGCCGGCAAGCCCCGCCCGCCGCTCCGACTCGCGCGCCTCGCTCTCGTCCGCCGAGGAGAACCGGCCCGCCAACGGCTCGCGGCACCGCCACTCCGCCGAGGCGACCACGGTGCCCGCAAAGGCGCGCGAGATGACTCGAGATGACGGTAGATGACACACACACACACACACACACACACACACACACACACACACACACACACAAGACACCCTCTCACGCCCCGACCCTTCCCCTTCCCCGCGGCGGCAGGTCGCAGAGTTCGAGGCGCTGGCCTCGCCCTCCCAGTCGCCCTCGCTTCGCTCGCCGCGCGACTCCTCGCCGGCGGACGTCGACTCGCCCGCGGACGGCGCCTCGCCGCGCCGCGTCTCTGGCTACCGCCTCGCGGCGAACGCTCTCGTCGAGCAGCGCGTGCGGCGCGCTCGGCTCTGCAACAGCCACTCCCCCGAGGCCCAGGACGAGGAGGCGGAGGAGCTGGGCGTGTGAGGGGCCGCGGCCTCCAGCAACCCGCCGCCTCGAGACGCGCCTCGCTTGGCCTGACAGACAGCCGGCCGCTTGGCCGTGTCTTGACACAGAGGGGGGGAAGGGGGGGTGCAAGCGCGGCGTCATGCGCTCGTCGGTCATCGCGCCTACTCCCCCTCCCCTCCCCCGCAGTCACATGCGTACCCACCGAGGACCCTCAGTCGCCGAGGGCGAGCGAGCTGCGCGCTCGTCCAGGCTCCATGACCCGTTGCGCCCCGACCGAACGCCACAGTCGGTGTCGCTGTGGCGACGCGCGCGCCTTCACGTTCGACCTCTCACATGAGTTTAGCCGAATTTTTCACGGTACGCGAGCGCTTTTCTAGCTCGCACTCTCTTTTTATACTGTCAAATCAAGAGGGACGTTTTTACCTCACCTTACCTTAGACCGAGAGAGAGAGCGCGGGCGCGGTGCACAGGGACAGGCCACACACCCCACACGCCACAGCGATTCGTCACTCAGAGGCGCGCGCGAACACTCACATAGCGAGTCAGAGATCGAGCTCCTAACTAATCACCTCCGCTGGCTCATCCGCCCGGGCGCTGGCTGCGACCCTCGCCCCTCGGGGGCATGGTCGGCGGAGTTCGCCGAAGAAAGGGTGGTCGGGGGGAGCTCAGGCAGGCTGCTCACCCACGTGCACCCCGGTGCACCGGGCCAGGGCCGAGCGTTTTTGATCTCTGGGTCAGTGGGCGCCCGACGTATCCACGCAAGCGTGGTCCGCGGTCCGCGCGCATGGCATACAGGCGTTCGCCAGACCGCGCAGAGGCTAGGCGACCGGGGAAGGACTAGCTCAAGGGCAACACAGCGTTCCAGAGTCGGCGTCGCTATCATCTTCCCTCTCTCCGAGTCCTGGCCGCCGCCTGTTGCTCCGTGTCCAATGGTACTGCTGTCGCTTAGATCACAGATCACACAGTAAGGCCCCGTAGCTACTCGAGTATGGATGGAAAAAATCCGCCTCTCGCCCTGGCGCCTGGGATCTACAATGCTGTCTTAAAAGGTCCGACCTGTGGAGGTGCCGCGTCCTGTGCCCCGTTCGTGCCGCGCGTGTTTCTCGCTGTCTTGTGAGGAATTTGAAAAAAATCATCAAGTCGATCGCTTTGCCCCGCGATGACACGCTCTCGGGGACTCCTTCCGAATCGCGCCCGCTCGGTTAGGCGAGGCCATGCCGCGGCTAATCTTCAAGCGTGTCGCTCTCGACATTCCGATCAAGAAAGACGAAGGAATCGCGTTCGTCGACGACGCAGATCGGGCAGCAGCAGCGGCTGCTTTAGCGGCAGTGGAGGCCGCGGACGCAGCAGCAGAGGCGGCGGACGCGGCGGAAGCTGTACGTGTGGCGGCAGAGGCGGAGAGGGCGGAGGCGGCGGCGGAGGCGATGGAAGCTGAGTGGGTGGTGGAGGCGGCAGAGGCGGCGGAGGCGGAAAGGGTGGCAGCGGAGGCGGAGGTGGCGGAGGCTAAGCGGGTGGCGGCAGAGGCGGAGGCAGCCGAGGCCGGTGAGGAGTCCAACCAGGTTCAGGCAAACGAGCTCCACCCACCAAGCTTCGAAGAGGCGACGCGCAACTTCCCCCTCGGGCAGCCCGTCTCGCAAGCTCCGAATGAAGTACCCACAGAGCTGGCGCTCATCCGCCTGCATCAGTTCAAGGTGCTCCTCGATGCCGGCGCGATTTCGCAGGAGGAATACGAGATCGCCAAGCAGAAGCTGCTGAGCGTCTTGATGTCGTGAGTCTCGTGACGCGTGCGAGTGGTGCGTGCGAGTCTGGCGGGCGGGAACGGGGAAGCCTCGCCGGGCGGCGCGGGCGCGAGGCGGAGCCGTCACAGACAGCTGCCTGCGCAAGATCCAAGAGAACACCCGTCCCTGCCTGGAGGAGCGACGCAGGGTCTGGCGAGGGTCGCCCCCCCTTGCCGCGCCTACCTTGTGTGTGTGGATAAGTTTACCTTACCTTACAGAACCCACGTCACTGGTCGGAATCTGAATTCGTAAACACATGTGCCGACATAGAGAATAGAGTGTAGAGAGATAAAAAAACACCGCCTCTTTGCATATTTTGGGTCGTCAGCTCGCTCGAGACGCTTCCCAGTTCTCAGCCGAGTCGTGTCCCTCTCTGTGTGATGGCTGTGTATGGCGGGTCCTATGACTTTTGTGCGCCTCTCGTCTCTCTGACTCGACAAAAACTCTCGCTACAACATGTACATGTACTGATGTGCTCTCTCTGAGTTGCTCTCTCACTGACACCTATGACCTCCCCCGCCGGAGTCCTCCCATCCCTCCTATCATCTGAGAGCGAGACCTGTCGGCATCGCCTCTCTGTCTGGAAGAAAGAATTTCACAAACATAACTCTCTGTCTCCCTGCGAGCGATGTGGCGGCGAAAATCTTTTGTGACGGCGCCGTTTCTGCCGCCGCAAGCCAAAGAGAAGTGCGTGCACATGAGCCGACCGACCGTCCGCCGCCGCTACCGCATCGACAGCGAGTGCCTCACCCTCTCCAAGGTGCAGGCCGACCTCAAGCGCGCCGGCCGTCGCACGTCCGCCTTTGACTTCGAGTCGTTCGCGACCGCCTCGTTCGACGCCGTGCTCGCGGACGAGGAGGTGCGCGGAGAGGTGGAGGCCATCACGCACGCCACTCAGCAGGTCGACGTGCGGCTCCGCATCGTCCACAGCATGAACACCGAGATGAAGGTTGAGGCGGACGCGGCTCTGAGGGAGGCCGACCTGCCGCCGCCCTCTGCGAATGCCGCCGCCGCCGCCGCCCTGCCGAGCGCGGCGGCGCCCGGTGGTGCACAGCGAGCCGGCGTGTGCGAGGGTCTGAGCGGGGACATCGCGCAACGGCTCGGCGAGGCGATGGCGCGCGTCGCAGCCGGCTGGCACGGCGGCGCGGAGGGCGCTGTCCCCGTCGCAGTGGATCTGAGCTCGCTCGCCCCTCCGTGGCAGCCTCGCCCAAAGCCGTCCTCGCGCAAGGCTCGGCGGGCCGTGCCGGCGGCGCCCGTCTCCATGGCTCCCGGGCCGCCATGGCTCGCCCCGGACGCGTTTCTCGCCGGCGGGAGCGAAGCTGCGCCCACAGGCGATTCCCCCCGTGGCCGCGCGCTCACCGAGTTTGGCTGGTGGTCGCTACTTCCGCCGCTCGAGCTGTCGCCCGGGGACAGCTTGGCTCCGGCGCCCGAGCCGTGGGGCGGTGCCGACGAGGGCGAGTACGGGGAGGCGCATCCGTTCAGCTGCGAGCCACCGCTGCCCCCTCCTCTTCCGGGCGCCGACTCCTCTTCGATGCACGTCGATGAGGCCGGGCCGCATCCAGGCAGCGCCGCCTTTGAGGACGACACCGCGGCAGCGGGGCCTTCTCGGCCGGGCGTGGAGCAAGCCCTCGCGCCGCCATCCTCCGACGAGGAGGAGAACGAGCCGCGGCTCAAACTGCAACGCCACCGCGACAAGGCCCGACCGCGGCGCGGGCTCGTCCTCCTGTCCTCGTCCGACGACGACGACTTTGAAGAGGCCGGACCGCCACGCGGCTCACGCTTCGCCGCCACCGCCGCCCCGAGCGAGAGCCAGCTGGCGGCCGAGCTGGCCGACGCCGACCCAGCGCCATCCGGCGGGGCACACCTGCAGACCCTCGGGTGGCACGCGCGGGAGCCGCCGCCGCTGGTCGAGATCCTGGCCGAGCACTGGCGGGACGGCCCCGGCGGGCCGCAGGGCGCGCGTGCAGGAGCCAGCTCGAGGTCTCACCGCCGCAAGAGCTGGGAGTCCAATGTCGACGCACCGCACTTTGGTCGCGACAAGCGGCAGTCGCGCGTGCACGGGCTGGTGTTTGAGCAGCAGTCGGGCTTCTCGTACCAGCTTCCGCCGGGCGCCATCGACTTCAAAGCGCGCGAGTCCTTCTCCACGATGCTGTCCATGGATGGCGGGGAGACGCACAGCGATCTTCGGGCGCGCGCGCGCGATCGGCAGAGCTGGCAAGACAACTCGCGGCACTCTGCGTGGCCCTCCGGTGCTCCGTGCGAGGGCGCCGGCGACGAGATGGACGCCGACGGGGGGTCTGAGGCGGGCTGCGAGGCGGGAGGGGGCGCGGACTTTGGGGCTGGGTTCGAAGGAGAGGAGGCCGACACCAGCGGCTTGAGCCTCGACGACAGCCCCTCGCGCCGTGCGGAGCCGCCCTCTGACGAGCCGAGGACGCAGCCCCGCCCCGAGCAGCGTCAGCTGGGCCGGGCGGCGCTGCGCGCGGATCCCCACCGCCGGCTCTCGGTTCCGCAGCTCGGCCAGCTGGTGGCGCGGCGCGCTGGTGGCGGCGGCGGCGTCCGCCTCGCCGCCGTGGCAGGAGCCGCGGCAACGCCGGGCGGCGCACCGAGCATGTCGCGGCTCTTCATGGGAGCGCTGTGGGCGGCCACGACGCAGCACGTGCTCTCGCTGCAGTCCCGCGACGGCGCCGATCGCACCGTCCCGCCGCAAGTGGGCCTGCTCTTTGCCGCCGGCAAGAAGGTGAGGCTGGTTGCGGGCGTGAGGGATGAGGACGGCCGGTGCGTTGATGTGCAGGTGCAGCTGGCATGAGAGGGGGGAAGAGGGAGCTCGCCATCAGCAGCCGTTGCGAGGCGGCGAGAGTCTCTTGCGAACAGATCTGAAGGGCTCCGCTGCCCAGCGCCGCCGCCCCGGCCGCTCCCGCACACCACGGCCGGCCGTGTGGAGCGCTCTTCGCCGTTTTGCGCGTTCCACGCGGCGAGGAGTGCTGTTTTCGACGACTTCGTACATTGCCTCTCTCTCTGGTCTGACTCTCGTTCCGTCTCTCGCTGCGAGAGCGCGCGAGTTACAACACAAAGCTCCCTCGCACAAACAAGAGAGGCTACTTCCATTTCACTGTGGCACAGCTCGCGTTACAAAACCTTGAGGCTAACCTCGAAATCTGCACCTTGGATGGCTGCGCTCCCTGTTTCGCAGCCATCCGTGCTAAGGATGGCTGGCACGCCTAGATCTCAGCCATGCACGCCGACCATATG